AAACCGACAACATTACCAGCCCCCCAAAAAAAAAAAAAAAAAAAAAAAAAAAAAAAAAACAATTTGGCTTGAATTGTGAACAACAGGAGAAGGTAGAGATGTTTCCGTCGTCTTTATTATGTCAATGGTAAATGCTGACGGTGCTGAGAGGCTGTTGAATGTTCACTTAATCAGCGTCTCCTGACTCCTGGTGGACTGATACAGTTGCAGGCTCAGTACCAATAGCAATGGCACATTTTATTCTCCACACACATGCATTCACTTAGCAACATTTGTGTTATTTGGTTGAGGAAACAAAAACAAACTAAATGGTGTCATGCAAAAGTGGAGGTTTGTTATCAATGTAGTGTTTTTACACACCGGCATGTTTTTTTGAGAAATAGTTGTTTGTATAAGCCTGGAAATTTATAAAAAATCAGCCCTTCAGTTGGTTAGCCTTTAGCCTAGCCTGGACAAAAATGTTTACCTCTTTTTCCATACTAAGTGCTGTATGTCTGATGTCACAGCTACTAATTATTAACTATTTGACAAAACATTACTTCACAGCTGACCAGACTATTCCTTTAAACAGTTCTGAAAGCACTGGTTTATATTGGCTGGGTGTCAACATACACTAATCCATCTTCGTTAACTGTCCTTCCTCATTCACTGTTTCCATCCACACCCCTGAGTCTCCACTCAAAGGGTGTGTGCTGTGGTGTGAGGCAGCTGCAATGTAGCAGTACTTTCATTGCTCACACCCTCGTGCATGTCAATTCAGACTGCTCAGCAGCCAGGCACAATCTCCTTCTGTGCTACCTTTTTAATCGTGGCTTTTTCAGCAGAACGCATCGAACGCTGGGACGGGCTGCTGGGGTGTGGTGACGTTGCAGGGATTCGCTCTCATTTGCTAGTCTCCTTTTTGTGTGTGTGAGTGCTCCTTTCCTACTTTTGTCCTTCCTCGTTTGCTCTTTTCTCATCTTCCTTATGATGTCATCCCCACACCCCTCTACTCATTCGTCATTTCCTCTTCTCTGTGCTCGTTGGCCAGTCTTTTTTAACTGAGTCAGAACTGTTGGAAGTCCCAGGCTCTCTTTGTCATTCATTCTGGAAACTTACAGTGTGTCGCTAAAAACTCTGCTGTTTTTTCTTCACTAAACTTGTGAATTTTGTTCACAAAATCTCAAACAGAAAATTACACTGGTGTATATTTTCACCCTAAAGCAGGGGTGTCAAACTCACTTACAAAAGGGGGACAAAATTAAAACCTTTTTCAAACTAATGGCCAATTTCAGAAACTACATTGACTCAAATCAGATGCCCAGCATTTTTTCTTGGTCACAGGTTCCTCAACAAGAGTTTGATGGTCTCATTTGATGTTCTCTGTTGTGCTTTCAACATCACAATCAAAGATTACTGAAAAAATTAAAGAAATGTAAGTATTTTACATTTAAAATAACATCTTGGGGGCCAGATAAGATGTCAACAAGGGCTACATTTGGTCCCCGGGCCTTGAGTTTGACACAAATGCCCTAAAGTGTTCTCTGATGGACATCAGTCATTCATCTGCATGGAATAGAAACGGTTATCTGCTATACTAATATAAATTGCACATATGACATTCAAATTAATTTATTTAAGAAGCAAGACTAACTTTGTGTATGTGCTAAACTTGGAACCCACTAAATTTGTTAATCAAGAGTACAATAAAACTTCCAACTTTTTTTAGATTTTTTTTTTATTTTTATTTTTTTACTTTTGACTTTTTTTACTGTCTGCATTTTTTTCTATAAATATATTTTAAATCCAACATCATTAGCAATAATCCATCCATCCATCCATTTACCCGCTTCTTCCTTTTTTGGGTCGCGGGGGTCACTGGTGCCCATATCCAGCCATCAGGTGGGGCACACCCTGGACAGGTTGCAAGTTCATCACAAGGCTCATTAGCAATAATGTTTTTATTAATCTGTGTATCTGTTAGCAAATTATCTTGTAAACCACTGGATGAATATTAATAAAACTCAAAGTAATAAAGATGGATGTGCATCTACCACTGTTTTTGGAGTCATCCTGATTCGTGCGCGCGGTTGAAGTGCTTCCTGGAGGATCACGCCATCTTAGAGCTTTTCCAATCTGGCTTTAAACTTCTCCACAGCACTGAAACTGCCCTGCTGAAGGTCTTTAACGACATCTTCAGATTCACAGATACCGGTGATTCTGTGCTGCTTGTCCTGTTGGACCTCACAACCGCCTTTGACACCATCGACCATGAGATCCTCATTGCTAGGTTGGAGCAGTGGGTGGGCGTCACAGGATCAGCCCTCAATTGGTTCAGATCTTACCTCGCTGACAGATCCTTTTGTGTCTCCATCAAGGATTTTAGTTCCGCAGAGGCGGAGCTTAAATGGGGGGTTCCGCAGGGGTCCATCCTGGGTCCCCTCCTATTCTCTTTATACCTGCTGCTGCTTGGTGCTATTTTCCGGAAACACAACATGCCCTTCCACTTCTATGCCGATGACTGTCAAATTTACTTCCCCCTAAGACACAATGGTACATGCTCTATTCAACCTCTGCTCAACTGCCTGGCTGACATCAGGGACTGGATGGCTTTAAATTTCTTGAGTTTCAATGAAAAGAAGTCTGAAGTCATGTTGTTCCCTCCCAACGACACGATCACAAACCACTGTATCGACCTCTCCGCTCTAACCCTGTCAGAAAAACAAAGAGTCACTAATCTGGGCGTGATAATGGACCCTTTCCTGAAGCTTAACCATCATGTAAACATGATTGTTAAATCATGTTTCTTCCAACTGAGGCGGCTGTCTAAACTGAAGCCCATATTGTCCAAAAATAACCTGGAGACAGTAATACATGCATTCATTACATCTAGGCTTGATTACTGCAATTCACTCCTGTTTGGTATCAGTCAGACCTCCATTGCACGACTACAACTGGTCCAGAATGCAGCAGCCCGATTTTTAACCAGTACAGGCAAAAGAGAGCACATTACACCAGTTTTGGCCTCTCTGCACTGGTTACCGGTTCACTTTCGAATCCAGTTCAAAATACTCATGTATGTCTACAAATCACTGAACAGTGTCGCCGTGCACCCCCCCCACACACACACACACACACACACACATTTCTCTGATCTGCTACAACCGTATGTCCCACCACGTTCCCTGAGGTCAGCGGACCAGTTGCTCCTCACAGTTCCTGGAACTCGTCTTAAGTGCAGAGGTGATAGGGCCTTCTCTGTAGCAGGACCAAGACTCGGGAACGAGTTACCTCTGTTTGTCAGACAGGCCCCCTCTCTCTCGGTTTTCAAGTCCCGTTTAAAAACTCACTACTATTCAGTAGCTTTCAACACCATATGATCTGTGTTTTGATCCTGTATGCTCCACACTGGTTTGTCGTCATTATCTGCATCGTTTTTTTGTCTATATTCTGATTTATCTCATTTTGTATTTTGCTTGGTGTGTTACCTGTTGTTTTGTCTGTACAGCACTTTGGTTGGCCTTGTAGCTGTTTTAAGTGCTTTATAAATAAAGTGGTATGGTATGGTATGGTATGGTATGGTAAGATGGCTGTCGCCACTAAATGACTTTAAATACTATAGAAATTGCTATGAATTACCTTAGTCAAGTTCACAGAAACTGAGCTAAAACAAATGTATCCAGCACTAGTAATAAGGTTTAAAAGTTAAATTTGCGAGGGTTTATTTATTTAGGTTGCATTCACACCAGCCCTGTTTAGTCCGCTTTAATCGAACTCTAGCTCGTTTGCCTAGGAAGTCTGGTTCGTTTAGGGAGGTGTGAACGCGCCATCGAACTCTGTCACGGAACAAAAAGGCGAACACTAGCCCTGGTTAAAACCTAGGTCTCGGTCCGGTAGAAGAGAACTCCAGCGTGGTTCAAGTACAGTGTGAATGTAAACAGACCGGGCCCCGCTCCACAAGCAAGAGGTGGAGTACAGCACAGGGCAAACAAACACGAATTTCTCTTACCTCATATGGAGCCGTCAGCTGCCTTGTGTGGAAAAACAATATTCTCCATGGTCTTCTGTCTCATCTTCTGCTCATGCTGAGTCTATTTTTGAAAAATGACAAAATATAACTCCTAAAACTGCTAAAACTCGATGCCACTCCGTTTTTGTTTTTATTTCCAGAAGAAGAAGAACAAGTGTCTTCTTCAGCGGTTTTTGTGTCGTTTCTTTCAGTAGTTCTTGGTGCAGCGCCACCACAGGCGAGTGGGGGAACAGGTTGGTTCGAACAGGTATACTTGACTGCACAGTGCAGTGTGAATGCAAATGCACCAGCTCAAATGTAAACAAAATGTCATGAATATTGGTCCCCAACTGAACCGAGTCTACCAGGTGTGAAAACAACCCTAGTTGTCGTCCAGCCACATACCATCACTAAGATATTTTTTGTGCTCACGCTTTCTTCATAGAGCCACCAACAATAAACTAAAACTATTTAAAATATACTTGTTTTTTATATTTTGTCTTATTTCCAGAAGTGCTCCACAATGAAATGTTTGGTTTATAATTTTATTCTAATTTAGTCAAATTCAATAGGTCATAAAATTTCCTTTACTTATAAAGTGCTATTTTTTTAAATTCCAAAAGGAAGTTGACCCAGACGATTTGTAATAAAGAAATTTTGGATCTTGTTCTTAATATAAAATTAGGATTGCTAATAACCTTGAGACCAAAAAGCAGTGACTAAAGATGGTAATGGTTTTGTTTGTTTGTTTTTTCCACAGGCGGAATCTCACCAAACTGTCGTTGATCTTCAGCCACATGCTGGCCGAACTCAAAGCCATCTTCCCCAATGGTCTGTTTCAGGGTGACAATTTTCGCATAACCAAAGCAGATGCTGCAGAGTTCTGGAGGCGTGCTTTTGGGGACAAGTAAGCACTTTTGTGTATAACTCTTTATCTGTAATACAAAACTGGTTTCCTTGATCTTCCAGAGGGTCCCTTACAGTTTGTTTTTAGGAAGTTAGTCTTAAGAGTTACTCTTTTAACAAAGAAAGCAGTACAGTTAAAATAGTATGTACAAAGAAACAAACTTTTGGAAAAATGTTCCATATAGCAGAATAAAGTGGCTTTTGAAATGATTTTTTTTAACGGGACTAAATGATTCAGTCCCCCACTGACACAAGTATTGTGAAAAAGACCAAGGAGCTTCAAGGCTGTTTTAAATACCACAGTTTATACAACAGTAGTTTTAATCTTTATCATTTACATCAATACTAGGAACGGACCAACAAGATTTCCAGCCTTAATGGTTTTGTAAACGTTGGCATTTGAGCTCCTAAATTCATTATTTTGCATTTCATGCAGACGACTCTTAAAGATATCAGTTATTTATAGAGCAGCTGACCGTCAAATCTTTATTTGGAACTGATATAGCTTGAACATAATGCAAATTTATTTATTTTTTTAAATTGTAAACTTTTTTTAAAATCTCTACACTAGAATATGTATTTAAAATTCAAGATGTGTATTAGGCAGACACCACTGCTTCTCAGACTAAAGAGAGAGAAAATCCCAAGTTAAGGTCAAAACTGTTATTGATCCTAGTTTGCATTTGTCCAAAAACTTAAGTATTGCTTTATTTTTGTCTTTCACGGGGTGAGATAATCCTAACTTTCCCCTTTTTTTTTCCTATTTTCCTTTTTGTAAATGTGACTTTTTCACAGAACCATTGTGCCTTGGAAAGTGTTTCGTCAGTCCCTCCATGAGTTTCATCCCATCAGCTCTGGACTGGAGGCCATGGCTCTTAAGTCTACTATAGACCTTACCTGCAACGACTACATCTCTGTTTTTGAGTTTGACATCTTTACAAGGCTATTTCAGGTAGACGGCACACACACACACATTACACACCTCTCCCTTTGCCTCCTCATTTCCTTGCTAGTTAATGTACTGAGATGTGCGCGCTGTGCAACAAATTAGTGAAAGAAACTTGAGACGAGCAGCACTTCATGACGGTCTATTGTCTTTGAAACGTTTTGAGGAACACGTGATGTATGTAAAACTGTTAGCCACATCTTTTTTTAGCTCCATTTATTCCATTAGATCAGACCAGAGTTAACAGTTTACTCCTACCAGCATAGTTCAGTATAGATTTGGATTTATCTACTTGATATTGGTCATCTGGTCTATGTGCTATGGGATAAGATGAATCATCTGGATCTTGGTTTAAAATGTTCTTCTAACCACCCAAGTTTGTTCAAATGTTGGAACAATATGCAAATAAAAATAAAAAAAAAGCCCAAATTACTGTAAATATAATGGGGGGGTAAAGGAAAAAAAAAAAAAGGAAGTTGTTCTAGGCTTGATCTGAAAAGTTTTGTCTGCTAAAACCACAAGGTTGACTTTGTGTTCTATAACTAACCCTCTCATACGTAACTGGCCATGTTTTAATTTACTTTATCTGAAACGTCGAGCGTATCTGGTGTGCAACAGTGTACACTGTTTATTCCCTGAGTGACATTATCCCTCGGTACTTGTGTGTGAGGCTCTGCCAGACTTAATGAAGCCTAAACAGATTAGACGTTTCCTATGTGACACTCCCCCCAATAAAAAAGTTCTCCTATGTGTTCTCAAACTTAGAAGAGGAAATGAGTCTGAGGCTATTTTAAGTTGTGTATTTAATGTGCCACAGAGTCGGGGTGAAATGTTTTTTATCATTATTATACCAATAGTTGTAGTGGTTGTCAAATGTTATAGGACCCTCATTTGTAAAGTTATTTTCAGTGTTTTAGCTGACTTAGAGTAATGTGACAACCAGTGGCAATAATGACAAACAACTTGAATGTAACTACTAGGCCTGTCGTAATAAACAATAAATCAATTACTCACATAATAAATGAAAATTATTGACCTCATTTTCATTTATCAACTTTATCATTTCTTCATGTCTTTCTTTCTACTGAAGACACTGGATGACGAGGCTCAACTCCGGTGCTCTTCACTGATCCCTCCCTTTCTCTTTCCTTTTTAATTCTCTTTTAACCGTCCAAAATTGTGTTTTTGGATCGTTAAAAGCAGCTAAGCTGAAAAACTAAACTACGAGGTAAGCCAACAGGCCGACCTTGGGGGGGAAAAACCTCCGTCTTGTCGAAGCTCCAAAATTCACGGTTGAAACCCATGCCTTCGTCTAGAAAATTGTTTTTCTCTGAAAAAAGAAGCTGAGAACTTATTTGCCGTTTTTTAATTTTTTCATTAAAAGCGTTGTGTGACAAATGCTATGCTAAAGAGCTCAAACCACACAGAGCATCTGCCATTTTGAGAACCGATAAACAGGAAAGAGAGATGGCCCGTGTCACGTCAAGGGGCCTCCCTCCCATTTTTATTAGAGACACGCTGCTTGCTCCCTCACTATCCATCCTTCGGTTCAAAAGCCCCCAGTATACTCCCGCGTGCATGTATGTATGCACGTACCTCCGCACAGACGGACCTACACAGGAGTATAATGGGGGCTAAACAGTCTTATACTGCCATCCAGTGGTCAAAACAGGTACTACATACAAAAATAAACCAACATTTCTTGTTAAATTTGAGAATAATTACTAATTATTGCCAAATTTCAACCAATATTATCGTTTATTGCAATATTTTCTGAGACAATTAATCGCCCAGCAAAATTTGTTATTGTGACAGGCCTAGTAATTACTGGATATTAATTTAGTCACATAAGTTATCTGTGCAAAAGTTGTCTGTGCAAAACGAAATAGTCTGAGATTATAACAAAAAAATATGTGCAGCACAGGGAGCCGGTTTAAACTCATCACTTCCTTTGTGTGAAAACTATAAATATCTAGGATCAGATTTTAATTTGAGCTCATTTCTTCAAGCCAAATTTAAACTTTTAGCATAATTTTTGTACAGCTATACATTTACAGCCTTTTCTTGTTGTTGTACATGTTCATTTTACTTCCTTTCACACCAGTTAGACCTGTGAGATCAAATTGCAGAATAACTGCCAGTATTCACAAAAACTCAGTCATGGTAAAAGTAAAGTATGATCTTTATCAAGTTCAAAAAAGTTCAAGACAAAAATAACTGGACTTTATTTGTAACAGAAGACGTTTCGCTTCTCATCCAAGAAGAACAGAAGCGAAATGTCTTCTGTCCAGGTGTTTTTGTCTTGAACTTTTTTTAATTTACCATGTCCTGGTTGACTGAGCATCTTCACCAGCGTATCTTTATCAAGTATAAGGTTTTGTTCATGACAGAAGGATTTTTAAATAAATTTCTGGTCTTTATCAAGTATTAAATTTTAATAAATACAACCACAAATCACCAACAAAATATATTACATTATGCCATTGTTTAATTAACAAAAACTAAGGCAAAATGCAGAAGCAACAGGTAAAACCTACTGTACACTTTCTTAATCTAAAGCTTGCAGAACCACTTCTACCAGCTTCAACCTAAAGGAACTGTTCTCTGTATGAACTTGTTAGTAGCTTACATATTTGTTGGAAACGTTTTCCCTCTGTTCAGCTCTTTTAAGATCCTGCCACAGTTTTTTAGTTGGCCTGTCGTCTGGATTTGGACTGCACCATTCTTTACTACACACTGTTGTTATAAGGCATTTGTGCTGCTACGATACATTGTATTTGGTCTTTTTTTTATTAGTCACACTCTTCCAAATAAGTCATGCTTGTTCTGGCTTTTCGAGATAATTTTGTCATAAACTTACATTTTCACAATCAAACTGACATTTGTACAATCTGATACGCTGTTCTTGGGTTTTTGCTGTTACTGAGCATTGTGCAGTTTGACCTGTAGGTGAACTTTCTGTGACTTTCACCTGTTTGGGAGATAATTTCACTGGTGAAAAACTCGTTCTCGTTGCAGAATTGTGTGATGCGGTTGTTCCATACTGTTAGGCAGCAACAGTTGCTTCTTTATTATTACCAATATCTTCACTGCTTGGTGTTTTTTTTAAACACACAACTGAGTACTACACAGCAGAAAACTGCTAAAATTTCTGCTTTTATGGAGATGCTCACACAAGCACATTTTCATTTTATTTATTTGTTTATTTATTTATTTAAATTAGGACAGTGCATATTAATCAACATGTCAGCAGTAAGCATCAAAGTAAATATGCCGGAGTTAACACAACAGCTAATTTTTACGTGTAATTGATTAGCATTATTTGGCTGCCTGCTACTCATCTGTTAATCCTGTTAAAGCAATAATGGTTGTCTTACCTTTTTACGCAATGCTTCTACATTTTATATAAAGTCCGTTTTAAATTCAAAGCAGTCTGCTCCTCAGATAAATAGTGTTAACTTGTTATTTTTATATATTAATGTTTCTGTTCAGTGCCCTGAGACGACTTCTGTTGTGACTTGGCGCTATATAAATAAACTGAATTGAAATTGAATTGAATTAAATGCACTGTTGTTCCTTGATGTGTCTGGAAAAATCCTTTTTTTTATTTTTATTTTTTATGACCTTTCAGTCATTCCCACATGAAACCACTCAAGCCGGTCCAAATCACAAGACTCTGAGTTTACCTACCATCATGAAACCAATCAAGCGACTACAGTGCCATTAGAGTGGAGCGCTGTAAGCTCCACTTCACACCTATGACACGTTGTCACTGTCTCAACTCTTCATCGGTTCCGCACCACACCACACCAGTTAAGGTCACCAGGCCTGCTCACTGCCGGTACCCACCCCCACTCATCCCGATTTATGGGACCGCCTTGTTTGTGGTTCCAAGTGAACTGCTCCGAGGTGCAGATTTTGATGTTGGCAGACAGCAGCTGTTGACTGGCCAGCAGAGATACATCACTGGATGACCCGCCCAGTAAAACTGCAAACTGCATCTGTACCTCCATTTCCTCTCTGATCCTGTTGATGGACAGCACCACAAGAAACAAGTTCATTTACAGAGAGATACCGGAGATAATGGCATGGCTACACCCGACTTCTAAGCAGTGCCGGTATAAGCTAAAGGAATTGAAGTCAGATTATAGGGCGATTAAGGACCCCAATGGGCAGAGTGGCTTGAGCACAATGACCAGTTACAATATCGCCCACAGAGCAGGGAAACAAGTTACAGTGGCAAATCACCTACACCTGAGAAGAACCGATAAGACACAAGTCAAGTGGAGTTGCACTTATCAATGGCAAAGTGGCTTTTCTCACCAGCTCAGCTCCGTGACTGTCTCAAAAGTGTAGCAGTTGTGGTTTAACTTCAACCCCTCTGTCATTGCACACATTACACTGAGGTGGGGAGGAGATATTTCAGGCCCAGCTTGAAAGTGTTACAGTATGTGCATAAAATTTTATTTATTCTGTTATAATTTATTATAATGTTGTCACAAAGTTAATATTGTTCATGTCAACTTTACTTAGCTATGACTGTTGAAAACTAGATGGCGAAGAAAGAAAATGCGAATATAAGAAGAAAATTTTAAGATTTTGCTGCTGCAGTCTTAACTGAATTCTGAGTTTTTGCAGCCAGCGAGGTGTGTGTCTGTATTTTGAATGGACATTTTAGAAAATTGTGAGCTATTTGTGCGTGCATGGCTTTAAAAACATTGTGTAAAATATTTTTGTTGTCCACCTCTGCCCAAATCATACCAGCTTTGAGTTGTTCTGCATCTTCCCATGACAGCCGCCCCCACAGTTAAGATTTAATTTTGCAAAAGTACACTTTTGAAATTAAGATAGGCAGTTTTGGTCCTGTTTTATTTATTTATTTTTTGTATTTGTTGTCGTCATCATGGTTTTAGTTGTATATTTGCCTCAGATATTTTCTGTCAGAGGGGAGCTAGCACTCTTTGGACAGGATTGAGACAACCACAAAAAATTTCAGATTGGTTTAAGATGCCCACAACAATTATGTGCCTGTTCTGAGAGAACACAAATTCACACAAATTTCTTTGGACATGTTCAAGCATCAGGTATGTGCACCTCTGTGATTCACACGAGCAAATTGAGATCTATTGCAAATGTTTTTTTTTTTTTTCCATTTAGCCTTTATTTATGCAGGTAGTCTCATTGAGCCACGAGAACTCATTTTCAAGAGAGACCTGTTTAGGGAGCAGATGGGGGGTTAAGGGCCTTGCTCATGGGCCCAGAGTGGGGTGAATGAGGGTGGGGGCAGGTGTGGGTGCTTCACCTACCCCACCCACATTTTTGATGATGTCGGTACCGGGGCTTGAACCGGCGATCTTCCGATCACAGACCCACCTTCTCTAACCTCTGCACCACCATTACCTCCCTCATAAATACTGTTTGTCTTTGAGTTGCTACCCTCGGGATATATTGAGCTAATTTTAACACTTCGTAAAGTCCTGTTGTGAAAAACGTAGAACTGTAAATAAGTTGTTCTCGTTTTCTTAATTTACCGCAAGACTTGGGTACATTTTGAAGTCTTTACCTGTAACTGAGACTAAACAAACTTGGGAGAAGTACCCTTAAGAAAAGAAACGCAAAGTTTGACTTCCCTTTTAATGACTTGTATGAGAGATCTACTATTTATTATCTTATTGTTGTCATTCTTTGTCTTTGTGTGGTAACAATTGACACTGTTGGTTTTGCACCGTATTGTCAAGCTACCTTTCGACATGGCTTGACTCAGAGTGGCTCATTACTCGGTTATTTGAACATCATGTTGTAGTATGAAATATTTCTCCTTACTAAGCTTCTGCTGTCCATTCACTCGCACTTCAGATGACTCACATTCTCTTTTTCTCTCTTTTGTGTGAATGTGTGGTGATGTGTAGCCTTGGTCATCCCTGTTGCGGAACTGGAACAGCTTAGCTGTTACTCATCCGGGGTACATGGCCTTCCTCACCTACGATGAGGTCAAAGCTCGTTTGCAAAAATTCATCCACAAGCCTGGCAGGTGAGACATCACACAAATATTCATACGCCTCATACCTTCAGTCTATCCACATATTGTGGTCTCCTCTGACATTAATGCAAGTTTGTGAATTTAATGCATATTTCTAACAACTGCCACATTGTCTCTGTTGGTGATAATCTGTCATTTCAAGACAAATGTTCATCTTCTGTCACAAGTTTCTATTAACATCAGTTTTAGTTTTTATGAGCAACACACATTGCCTGTATTGCAACATTAGTTTCCATTGGCAACAGCAAAGTTACAGGTTAACTGTAACTCTGAAGACATCTTCTACATTGCTACTCATAAAAACATCATTGTTCATTAAATATTAAAATTAGATTTTAATGACTACAAGAACACTAATGCCAACACTGAACTTGATGTTGGATTCACACAACTTTTGTGTTACAGTTTGTGTGTGTGGGAGGGGAAGCAGAGTCTGAGGAGCATAGGACATCATGGCACTGTCACCTTCCATTAAAGGCCTGATTGTACACAAACTGCTAATGTCACACCACAGGCCGGGTCAGCATTTAACCACATTGACATTGAAGTCTTTGTTGGTGAATATGACCGCAGCATTTTTTACTTGAATCTGGGTATCATAATACAAAATTCTTGGAGTGTTAGAAGGGCTCTGGAAGGTGATCCAACTGGGAAGTCCTTTTTTTTCTGCTGGGGGACTTCAGTGCCCATGTGGGTAATGACAGTGTGACCTGGGGTGGCGTGATTAGGAGGAACGGCCTCTCTGATCTGAAACTGAGCGGTGTTCTGTTGTTGGACTTCTGTGCAAGTCACGGTTTATCCATCACGTATACGATGTTCCAACATAAAACTATCCATAAGTGCACTTGGCACCAGGACACCCTAGGCTGCAGATCAATGATTAACTTTGTAGTTGTGTCATCTGACCTGCGGCCGTATGTTTTAAACACTCCGGAGAAGAGAGGAGTTAAGCTGTCAACTGATCACCACCTGGTAGTGAGTTGAATAAGATGGCAAGGGAAGATGCCGAACAGACCCTGTAGATCCAAACGTGTAGTGACGGATTTCTGGGAACATCGTCAACTCACACTTCCGGGAGAGCTTTAACTACATCCCAGCTGAAGCGGCGGACATTTGAGTCCCAAGTGGGCCATGTTCCAGACCTCAATTGTTGAGGTGGCTTCCTTGAGCTGTGGCCGTAAGATTGTTTGTGCTTCTCGCAGAGGCCATCCTCAAACTCTGTAGTGGACACTCCAGGGTAGGGAGGCTGTCAAGCTTCAGGAGGAGTCCTATCAGGCCTTTTCGGCTGGTGGGACTCCAAAATCAGCTGAGAAGGACCGGAGGGCCAAGCGGTCCTCAGCCTTGGCTGTTGCTGAGACAAAAGCTTGGATGTGGGAGGTGTTTGATGAAACCTTAGATAGTCTCTCTCTGAGATTCTGGAGATTCTCTCCAAGGAGATTCTGGCAAACCGTCAGGTGGCTGAGGAGGGGACAGCAGCACTTCACTAACACTGTTCAGTGAAGGTGGAGTACTGTTGACTTCAACCAATGATATCATTGGGAGGTGAGAGGAATACTTCTCAGACCTTCTGAAGCCCACCAACACGTCTTCTATGGAGGAAGCTGAGTCAGAGGACTTCAGTCGGTTGGTCTGTCCGTAACTATAGCTGAGGTCGCTGAGGTAGTCAAAAAGCTTTGTGGCAACAGGGCTCTGGCAGTGGACAAGATGTGCCATGATTTCCTTAAGGCTCTAGATGTTCAATTCAATTCAGTTTGTTTATATAGTGCCAAGTCACAACAGAAGTTGTCCCAGAGCACTGTATAAAAACATTCATTTACATAAAAAAGCCAATTAGTAAAATTTATCTAAGGAAGCTAGCAGATTTCATTGAATTTTCACTTTGTCCCAGTTTTTCGTCCTAAGCAAGCACAATGGCAACAGTGGAACGGAAAAACTCCCTTTTAACAGGAAGAAACCTCCAGCAGAATCAGGCTTGGGACAAGTGGCCATCTGCTTGGACCGGCTGGGGTTTGAGAGGATGCTATGAGGCTGTCTTGGTTGACACGCCTTGGCAATATCATGTGGACAGGGTAGTGTCACTGGATTGGCAACCTGGGGGTGGTGCTTCCCCTCTTCTAAATGGAGGACCGAAGGGTGTGCTCCAATATAGAGGCATCACTCTTCTCCCTAGTAAGGTCTATTCAGGAGTACCAGCTCTTTACCCTCACTAGGGTCCTAGAGAGTTCATGAGAGTTTGCCTGTCCAGTCTACATGTGATTTATGGACTTGGAAGAAGGCATTCAACAGTGTTGCGTCAAGGTACAATGTTGAGGGATGCTCCGCGAATATGGAATTGGAGACCCGTTGCTACGGGCCATTCTGTCCCTATACAAACAGTGCAAGAGTTTGGTTCACATTGCCGGCAGTAAGTAAGATCCTTTTAGGGTGGGAGTTGGATTCTGCCAGGGTTGTCCATTTTCACTGGTTCAGTTCATAACGCTTATGGACAGAATTTCTCGGTGCAGCCAGGGGACAGAAGGAGTCCGGTTCCATGGCCTCGAAATTCCATCTCTATTTGCAGATGTTGGCTATTTGCAGATGTTGGGGTTATTGTACCATGATCTTCAGCTCTCACTGGAGCGATTCGCAGCCAAGTGTGAAGCTGTTGGGATAAGGATCAGCACCTCCAAATCTAAGGACATGGTCCTCAGTCCAAAAAGTGTGGATTGCTCTCTCTTGGTAGGGAGTGAGGTTCGGTCTCAAGTGGATGAGCTCAATTATCTTGGGGTTTTGTTCACAAATGAGGGAAGAATGGAGTGGGAGATTGACATACGGATTGGTGCAGCATCTGCAGTATTGTAGACTCTGTGCTGGTCCATTGTGGAGAAGAGTGAGGTGAGCTGTAAGGCTAAGCTCTCTGTTTTTGTTCCTACTCTCACCTATGGCCACAAACACTGGGTAGTGACCAAAAGAATGAGACCATGGATGCAGGCGGTCAATATAAGTTTTCTCTGCAGGGTAGCTAGACTCTCCCTTAGAGATAGAACGAGAAGTTCAGGTATCAGGGAGAGGGACTCAGTGTAGAGCTGCTGCTCCTCCTCATCAAAAGGAGCCAGTTGAAGTGGTTCAGGCATCTAGTAAAGATGCATGTCTGACTGGGAAGTGGCCCACAGAAGACCTAGGACACACAGGGGATACTACTGTATGTCTCTCAGCTGGCCTGGGAACACCTTGGAGTCCTCCCAGAAGACCTAGTATAGGTGGTTGGGGAAAGATATGTCTGGGCCTCCCTGCTTAAGCTGTTGCCCCTGCTACCCAACTTCAGAATAAGCAGAAGATAATGGATGAATTGGTAACACAAGATGTCCGCCTGCTGTTCCACGTTTAGTTTTCTATTAGTCATGTCAATGTTTGAAGAATTTACCATTTGCACCTCTGTGAATATAGTTTTTGACACCAAGGATTATGATCAGTGGCTAAAGTAGGCACAATCCATCTTCTCAATGTTTATGTGCATTGTCCCATACCTACTTTGAAAATTAAACTTATTTGATATTTGTGTCCGTTTTCTGGCCCACATCAGTCACATGCCAAATTTTTCAGATGACACCAAAAGTCAGAGCAAGATTATTCAAATAAACTTCATTTGCAAAGACAGTCAGTTCCTCGCAGAGCTTATTCTGAAAAATAAAATTGTCAGCATAAGTAAGAAAAGGGCAGACCGTGCACACGGTCTTCCTCATGCCTTACTAAACTCATGCAACTGCATATTTTGTTCCTAGTTTTTCTTGTTCCGTTCTTTTTGTCTCAAGCCAGTTTTTACTGTTTGATTTTATTATTTTTTTCAAAGTAAAGCATTGTTCCTATTCACCTCCAGCACACGTTGTCATACTTGGTTATTGCATTCTGTCAAAAGAAAGGCAAGATGTCAGTTCTTGTATTGTTTTTATTTATTTTACATTTCTGCACACAATTCAGTTTTAATCAGTTTTGAGCAAGAAGTAGCTTCTCTGCGGATGCTGGCTGTTCCTACACCAGTTTGTATTTCCACATTAAAATAATGTTGCACTTTCTGCACTCCTGTTTGACCTTGTTTATTCATTAAGGTATGTATGTTAGTAAATTATGTTTCCAAACCTGTAGCCTTTTTTTTTTTTGTTTGTTTTTGTTTTTATAAATTAACTTGGATCATGCTATGTATAACCTGTACTTCAAGAGCCATACTACACAAAATTTTTGTCACACTTTGTCATTTATTTTAAACAAGTGTTTAAGCCTTTTGTCATGTTGAGTCAATCTTTGTGTTTTAATTCATAAAGATTGTTCTTAATTTTTGTAACTTTGTTTTTTTTGTTGTTGTTGTTTCCCTCTACTTAATTGTTGTCTCACATTTTTGTGTAACACATCTTTAGACATTTGTTTTTAAACAATTTAAATGAGAATTTTAATTTATTTTACATATTTGCATTTAGTTTTATGTAATCAAAGGTTTGCTTACTTGCTCAAATGTTTGTGTGCACCAGTTTTCTAGGAATTATTTTCCGTATCTAATCGTTTTTTGCAAGTAAGTGAAAATTATCGTCTTTCTTCAGTTACATCTTTCGACTGAGCTGCACACGGCTGGGCCAGTGGGCCATCGGTTATGTGACGGCAGATGGAAATATTCTCCAAACCATTCCCCATAATAAACCCCTCTTCCAGGCCCTCATAGATGGTTTCCGAGAAGGATTGTAAGTATATATTTTGTGTTCGGCAAAATCGTATATGCCATTACTTGTGGCTTTTTCATGTGAACATCTGAGTTGCTGCTGCGGATCTGTCTGGTTTGTGGTCTTGATTTGATGTATTGTTTTGTCTGCAACGGGTTTTTTTTTTTTTTTTTGTCTTTTCTCTTTTCGTTATCTCATATTTTTATTAAAAACTACATTTGTGTGAATTGTGCAGCCTCTTTTTTTGCATATCAGCTTTCTTGTTTCCATCTCTCTACTGTTTGTACAACCAAAGCAGAGCTCATGGTTTATATTGTGGGCCACAGTTGGTAGTTTAGCCGGCTGGCGCAAAATTCAGCTTTTATTGCCAGTGTTGATTTCTTTATTGAAAGCTTTCTGTCTTTTTGAAACCGAGAAAGCCTGTAAAGTATGATGCCCATATCTACAAAACACCTCAAACAGTAGTTTCATGTTCACCTCATTTGTAAACTAGTCATGTCTTTTACATCCATCAGTTTACATTGAATAAATGAACTGAACAAATGGTTTCATTACTCTTGCCCTTTATCTACACATGTAATATAATCGCACTAACTAATAATGGTGTTTAAATTAAATCACATATTCAAGAATGCTTTCAAGGCATTTCTTTAATTTTTAATTTTCTATGTATGTTTCAGTTATTTATTCCCTGATGGCCGAACCCAAAACCCTGACCTGACGGGACTGTGTGAGCCTTCCCCTCAAGACCACATTAAAGTCACACAGGTGGATTGTTTTGTTTGTTTTTACTATTCATACTGGTTTTTATTGACACTCAACCTTAAATCCTGCCACAGGCCAGAAAGCATCTTATAAGCCAATAATGGGAGAATATTATGTATGAGCAAAAACCAGAAGTTGGAACCTGGTGAAGCGCTGTAGTAACTGAGAAGCTGACATAAAGGAGCACACGTAATAAATCATCTTTTTATGGTTGATAAATTTTATATTACATATATTTGAGGATTAGCAGAACAACGTTATGAGCATTTTGTTTTAAATTTACTAACAGAGATGAGGAAAAATACAGTTTTTAAACAGATTGATTAGTTTGGGTTTGACTAATCTTTAACATTGAATTTGTTTGCTTTAACACTGGCTTGCTTCTTGGGAAACAAAGATAAAATTCTAACACTCAACTCATTTGTAGAATTAGTTTTCTTGGTGATATGGATGTTCTCACATTTAAGGTCACAACAGTGTTGCAAGAAATGTGTTTTGTATGAGAGTTTCTCAGAGATTTTGTAAATGTTATTCATGGGCTCGCTGGGCTCGAGCACAAGACTGAAACTAAAACTACGCCTCCGCATTTTGAGTAACGCTCTTGATTTTCAGCAGCTCGTTTCCGAATGTTCTCAGGTGTTGTTCGCTCTTTGTGATGTTACTGTCTCACCGTGTTTTTCCTCCCCTCAGGAGCAATATGAGCTGTACTGTGAGATGGGCTCCACTTTCCAGCTTTGTAAGATCTGTGCTGAGAATGACAAGGATGTGAAGATCGAGCCCTGCGGTCACCTCATGTGCACCTCCTGTCTCACTGCCTGGCAGGTATGAGAGTGGGTGGAAGCCAGCGTTGGCTTTTTGGTTAGATGTCAGAATTTGTTTTGTTCAAAAATTGACTTGCTCTAGAGCTTCTTTATGCACATCTACATGACATCATCCTGCCTTTGTACCTGCTTTACAGGAGTCAGAGGGTCAAGGAACTGGATGTCCCTTTTGTCGCTGTGAAATTAAAGGTACAGAGCCTATTGTTGTTGATCCTTTCGACCCCAAGGACAACAGCGGATGCTTATCTAGGTGCATCATGGGAGCCGAGGGCGCACCATCGCCCAGCTACGATGACGACGATGATGACAGACTTGAAGACCCCCACCTGGTGATGAGCAAACTTGCCTGTATGAAGGTTAGATTGTGGAGAACTTTGGCTCGCTTTAACTGGTTTCTAATCATTAAGAATACACTGTGGACCTGACAACCAGGCTACAACTCTGGATTTTTTTTTTTTTTACCATCCTCTCCTTTTTTTTAGACTCATTTCAGTACAGAGAGAACACTCCCTACCTCACCCTTCTCTTTTTTTTCTGCTCTTTTAGCTTCCCCATCTTATTTTTAAGGTCTTTCATCTCTTATCTTTCATGATGCCAAGGCAGCAGCTTTTTTCATCTCTCGGCATTTGATATCTGGGGCATTCTCCTATCTTACATCTTTTATGTGCCTCTGAAAAAAACTCTATGCAATATTCCAAAAATATGTGAAGACCTGAGATCACACGCACTTTGTGTCCATGGAACTTACTTAGTGCTGAACCTTTCTCTTTGACATTACTTTTAACATGTGCTTCCAGTCATTGTAATCTTGCACAAAATAAAACTGTGACAAAAGAGAAGGCAGATAATTAAGCATGAAAACATAATTGGACACAAGTTGTGGGAAATATATATTTTTTGTCATAGAAATTGGGATATAGAGAAAACCTGTTTGCTTAAGTTTTGATCAGAGGTCTGTGTTTGACTGATACAGGTGGAGCGCCCCCCGTCACCCATGTCCATGCCTCCTCAGTCATCTTTTCCCCCAGTACCTCCCAGACTTGACTTGTTACCACACAGGCCTGCGAACCCCCCTGGTGCCTCCAGTCCAGGCGTCAGCAGTAAGGTAACTGAATGCCACTTCATTTGTGATGTTAGTGTTTTGATGCGTCACTGTTTTCTTTATAGATCATAAACAAATGATCGTTTTCTGTGTATTGTGCCGGTAAAATATGCTGATAAAAAAATTCCCTTTGTCTCCGTTTTATTCGTCCAGACTCCATCTCACCACAAAGACAAGCCTCTTCCTCTTCCTCCTGCACTGCGGGATCTCCCCCCTCCTCCTCCTCCAGACAGACCCCACACGGTCGGGCCAGCCCCTGATGCCCGGTTGCAAAGGCGACCCTTACCCAGCACTCCAGGGGAGCCCCCACGAGACAAGCTCCCTCCCACACCCCCAAACCGTCCAGTAGCTGACTGGAACTCCAGGCCTGTTCCCAAGGCCCCCACCTCCTCTTCTTCCTCATCCTCATCATCCTCTTCATCCACACAAGTCTCCAGTCTGGGAGGGGACATTCGAGCAGGTGTCAGGGAACTATCCAACAGACACTCCCTCCCCTTGGCACTGCCTTCTGCTCTGGACACCCGCTCAGACTCTCAGAAGAACAACAGCTCCGTCAGTCTGGACCACCAGCTGGTCAGAACCACCTCCACACATCACACTAAACATGGTTTCACTTCCAGTCCAGCGCTGCTGAGATGAATGAAAACTGTTCACACAAGTCCTCAAATACCTCAGATGTTATTTTTATAGGTGCTGTCAGACACGTCTGAACACAGTGTTGTAAAACTGCAGAAACAAACAGTTTTCATTTCTAAACTCATAGAACTGATCTTTGCATTAAAAAATATTTTTAATAATTCTTAAAGTTGAGAATAAAGAAATATACAGTTTTCAAAACAAAATATCTGTTAATGGTGTTGTTTACACATTCAAACTAAACTAGTTTTTCCAGACATAACAATTTATTTGTATATTTTACTTGATAAATTATATGTTCTTTTGTTAAAAATTAACCAGCTAAATCTACAGAGTAAACATTTTTTAATTGATTTGGTTAGAATCAGTTCCAACCATTGGCTGCTTTAGGTTTAAAAAGCTTAGAACTTAAAAAGTTTTCTTACTTTGTTTTGCTACTACAGTTGTTCTTGTATTTTGTTTAGTTTTTTATGGATCTTTATTTCCTTAGCTTTGTGTTCAACAGGTGAAATTTTGCTCTGTTGGGTTGAAGGTTTATCCACTCAAAGTTGGGGAAAAATCTGCTTCTTTACCATTAAAGCTCCTGTGTTGCTTTTTGTAGGTTTTATTTTATATTTTTTTATTTTTTGCTGTTGTTCTGGGAAGTTCTGCAAAATCAGCAGCTCAGATGTGTTGACAAAATACTTTTCTACACTTTAGAAATCTGGAGCTTCTTCTGTCTTCAGTGATGTCAGTAACACTGTTGACTGCATGAGACTGTATTCTCATGTTTTACACATACTGAACACATTAGACTGTTAGCCATTCAAAACGGTCTTCAGGTTGTTTTCTGGTTTTAGGTTGATCTTATTTCATGCGTCCAAATATTTCACACCCAGCTCCTAAAGATGGATTTTAATGTATAATCTGGTCATTGACGCATCATCTTTGTGAAGATTGTTGTTAAAAAGTAGTTTTTCTTTAGCGCAGTCTTGTGATCAGTCTGTATAGTCTGTGTAGACCTTTTAGCTTCTCCCTTCATTAGTTTTCATATTAGAGTGGAACAGACTTGGCTGCTCTTAGTTTCTAATGATCTCTGATGGTTTTGTTTTGCAATCCTAGGATGGTCTGTTGAGCTTTGCATTAAGAGCTCTTTTTGTCGGACGTTGTGCGCTCACAGTAAACGGCTTCCAAATATAAGTGCTGTACTTTTTCATTTGAGCAGGGAAACAACTTTTGGAGTCAACCCTGCAGTTAATTAGTTTTCATATGTTATGTAAATACGTAAGAGCTGCAAGTTTACGATTATTCCTGAAATATGGGTCTAAAAATTTTTTTTTTTTAATCAAAGCACAGTTTCTTTATTATTCACAGTGTAACTTTAAAAAGAGTTTTGATAAACCTGTTTTATTAACAAATGTCTAAATTACCATCAAGGTTCAAAACAAGAAAGTAGTTCTCCAACAAAATGTGCACCTCTTAAGTTCACTGCTCACCACATAATACCTTGATTAGTTTAGTCAAAAGTGAGTCACAACTTCTATAACCATTAACTTCTTTGGAAACTGGGTTTCTCCTATTCAAGTAAAAACTAAAAGTTCTTGCATTAATTAGTTAACTTTCCTGTTCTGGATATATATTTTTAATTAAAGTAACTAGAACTGACTGGCTGCTGCCACCAACTTCTCATGTTGATGTCAACAAGAATCTGAAAGAGCAGATGTTCTGAAATGCTAAACATTTTCTTTAATTATGTCAATATATAAATCTGAAGTTTCTAACATGTGAGTATTTCTTTGCTTCCCAGAACTTTGCTGCATTATTGGGTCCAGAATATGACAACCCCAAAGTGAAACCCTCCGCTTCAGCCAGCGCCATCTATTCACTGGCAAACAGGTACATTTAACTGGTCCTGTGATGACCTACTGATACTCTATTAACTCATCATCTCAAAGCAAGGCATTACTTTTAAGAGACATGTTTATGTTGATGTTTTGTAAATATCTGTGATATCTTGGTTTGCGCCCAGACCATCTCCAGTTTTGAGAGCAGTAGCCGGTGAAGAGCCATGTGACAGTGAGGAGGACTCCGAGTACATGATTCCCTCCTCTCGGCCCATCGTGGCACCACCCGTTGGAGAACCTTTACCGGCGCCAAGACCCTCACAGCCTCAGCCTCCGTCAGCACTCCAAGCACAAGCCCAACCCTCTGCACTCAACTCGCGGTATTTAAACACCCAATGACTCCACCTCCATCCAGCATATCAAGAAAATACAGAGGGGTTGTTTATCTGAGGTGTAACTTGTTGGTATTGTTGGTTGTTGTAGGCTGACACTAGCTGCTGAAGATGGACCTATAGGTTATGAAGCCATGTACAACATCCAGGCCCTGTCACAACAAGCCAGAGATTCAGGTATTTCTTTATTTTAATCCTGTGTTGCCTCCTTCAGAATGAATTTTGCTCTAACCAGTCAAAATGAATAATCTCAAGTTCTACCTCTGTGTTTCTGTATTAAGTTGATTTTGACGTGCCAACACATTATGCCTTTCATCCTTCCAGATTATTCAGAGCTGCCCCCTCTGGGGATGACAAACGGTCCCAGAGACCCTGCACCTGAGGACAAGGAGGAGGATGACGACGGCTACGACTTCCCAAAGTCCCTCCCTTTGCCCCCTGCACGACGAACACTCTCAGAAATGGGAGGCTCTTTATCATCTTCTTCCTCCTCATCATCATCATGCATGTCCTCCACAGCTGCTTTCAACCGCCTTTCCCTTGATGTAGATGCTGGAGCTGCACCATGTAGGTGTTCTTTTTTTTATTGTTATGGACTAACATTAGTAACGAGCTAGTCTGTCATGTTTATAAACGTACTGTATGTGCTGTTAGTAGCCGACGCCCCGGCGTCAGACACAAGTTGTGATTCTGTCTGTGCTGCTTTAAAAAAAAACTATGCACAAATTTAAAGTTTAGTGTTAGACTTTGTTCTTTATTTGTTAGGAACTGATTTTTGTAAAATGTTGGGTCCAACATATTGAAACAAAATGTTTAAAACTGTTAGTACATCAGTGATGTTAAAACTACAGATGCAACTTTTGTCAGGCTGGTGCACATCTACCTGCTGTATCATTTAAACTAAATACTTACTGCTTTGCTAAGAACTTCCTTATATGGTACATGTGTATGGTTGTGTGGACTGTAAGTAGCAGGTCAGTTGTACTTGAGAATAATTCATGACCACATCCTTTAGTCTTGCTATTTTTTATTACTGAATTAAAAAACGGTGTTAAAAATAAAACCATGGGTACATTTACATGGAACTGAATCACAGAATAGGCTGGAAGTGCCAGAATACCGCCTTTTTTTTATTCTTTCTTTCAATGTGCTGCTGCAATCTGGGTATCTGAACACGGATGGATGGATGGACAAGCAAAAAGTAAACAAATAAATAAAAGTACTCTAAAAACACTAGTAGGGGGAGTGGTGGTGCAGAGGTTGGAGAAGGTGGGCCTAGTTCTTGTAACCACTTCCTGGATCTCCTTTCAGAGGTTCATAAGTGGTTAAGTCACTGAGGAGTGTCATAACTTTCTCATGATAGTCTTTCTGGTTCAAAATCACTGTGCACCTTCCTTTGTCTGCTGGGAGGAGGATGTTCTTGTCCTTGCTGAGAGCGGTGAGTACCTCCCTCTCTTCTCTGCTGATGTTTGAAGGTGGTGGTTTGGTGTTGCTGAGGCAGGTTGGAACTGTTAATAAGTTGTTCTGCTTCAAACTCTGTAATTTTGTTGCTGTCAGCAGCAAACTGGTTGATCCACAACAAGAAGGTGATCTTTATAAGGGTGCATTCACACCAGCCCTGTTTAGTCCACTTTAATCGAACTCTAGCTTGTTTTCCTAGAAAGTCAGGTTTGTTTGGGGAGGTGTGAACGCGCCATCGAACTCTGTCACGGAACAAAAAGGTGAACTCTGGCCCGGGCTAAAACCTAGGTCTCGGTCCGGTAGAAGCGAACTCCAGCGCGGTTCGAGTGCAGTGTGAATGTAAACAGACCGAGCCCCGCCCCGCAGGACAAACAAACACGTATTTCTCTTACCTTATATGGAGCCGTCAGCTGCCTTGTGTGAAAAACAATATTCTCCATGGTCTTCTGTCTCATCTTCTGCTCATGCTAAGTCCATTTTTGAAAAATGACAAAATATAACTCCTAAAACTGCTAAAACTTGATGCCACTTCATTTTTGTTTTTATTTACAAAAGAAGAAGAAGTGTCTTCAGAGGTTTTTGTGTTGTTTCTTTCAGTAGTTCTTGGTGCAGCGCCCCCACAGGCGAGCGGGGGAATAGGTTGGTTCAACAGGTTGACTCGACTGCACAGTGCAGTGTGAATGCAAACTCACCAGCTCAAATGTAAACAAAAGGTCTTGAATATTGGTCCCGAACCGAGTCTACCGGACTATCTGGTGTGAAAACGACCTAAGACTGAGTTTGTTGCCGGGCCTCAGACTGAAGTTTTTTGGATAAAAGTCGAAAGGTTTCAACAAAGACGAATCCGTCCAGAGGATCTGACTCAACCTTGTTAGATTTATATACCTGGATTATTGAGCATCAGGACATTCGTAAGAAGCTACCAATATGAAAACACAGTTGTTCTATAAAGTTTAGTACAAATATTTGCCATCTATCATCTAAAATTATCCAACCTATAAGACTTGACTGTACATCTGGTTTTATATTGATTTTATTTTTTTTTCACATTTATTGTTCAGTTTTTGTTACTTTCTAAATGTTTCACAACTGACATTTTAGGGGTTGGTGTTAAAAAAAGTTTTATCTGGTACATTTAACTGGTTTAGACTGAGGATATACTTGTATTTCTTTTTCTTATTCCCTGAGATAGTTGCATGCCAGTGTTAAAATTAGAGCAGAATTAAAATAAATGTTTTTCATGCTGAGAACCATATCAGCTGTCTTGATACCAGTTATGAGAAAAATGGTTCCTGGAATCGGCCTTGAAAACTGCAGTTGGCACATTTCTAATTAGAACCATTATAGTTGAGGGTTTTGCTCTTGATGGGGGTTTGTTCTTGAGTATTTTACTGAAGTCTTTTAATTGATAAGAAGAGGAATGAGTACAAGACGTTTGCTGACATTTGAGCCTTTATAAAAACCTTGAAGTAACAGTTACAACACAGGAAGTAGCTGTTTGTTTATGTGATGAGAGCGATGTCCTCATGTCTGCATTGGGTTGACATTTATCAAAGATGATGATTGCTGCTGGGTGTGTTAGTGTTTTACTAAAGATCTCATTCTTTGCGTCTGAGAGCCAATTAAATCAGTCTGCATCAAGCTGACAAGCTCACAGCTCATAATTGGCTTCTTGCAGTGCTTTGTTAAATGTCACTACGGTGGGAAGCTGCGAGGTTTCACAGCACATGACAGGAAAAGACATGTGGCTTCCCTCGGGCCTAATTATAGTCATCAGTAGGCCTGTCGCGATGAACAATAAATCAATTAATCGCATGCAACAAAGTTCATGCTCAGTCATCCAGGTACCAAATCCAGTGATTCTCAGTTGGGTCATTTGGACGGTGTCTTTTTTTTTTTTTTTTTGTAAAGACATTTCACCCTCTATCCGGAGGGCTTCATCAGTCCAAGGAGTTCCAGTAATCTGTTTCCCCACCAAGCAGTAAACTCCTTCAGTGGACCAACCAGTTTGCTGGAGCCTAAGCCCCCAGTATACTCCCGCGTACGTCCAATGTCAATGTCAATTTATTTATATAGCACATAAAAACAACAAAAGCTGACCAAAGTGCTTTACAGTTAAGACAGATTAAAAAAATTATAAAAGAGTAAAAATGCATCTAGTGCCACTCAAAAACATAAGTTGACAATAAAAACAACACATAACAACAATAAAATCAGCTCAACTTGTTCTCAGACTCTGCGTGGATGAAATGCCAAGGAATACAGATGAGTCTTGAGCAAAGATTTAAAAGTCTCAACAGTCTGAGCGCTCTTTAAATTCTCAGGTAAACTGTTCCACAGTTTTGGAGCAGCAACCGCAAAAGCCCGATCACCTCTGGATTTAAGTTTGGATCTGGAGACATCTAAGAGGAACTGGTTGGTAGACCGGAGTGCTCTTACTGGAGTGTAGATGTTAATGAGATCACATAAATATGACGGGGCCAGACCTTTTAAGACTTTAAAAACAAGCAATAAAATCTTAAAATCAATTCGGAAGTGGACAGGAAGCCAGTGGAGCAGGACAGGGGTTGTGTTCATGTTTTTTAGTTGCTGTTAAAAGACGAGCTGCTGCGTTCTGGACAGATTGTAAACGATGCAAAGATGATATGTTTAAACCAACATACAATGAATTACAGTCGTCCAAACGAGATGTAATAAAAGCGTGAATTTTCGGATTTTTCAGGGTCTCTGAAAGGGAGACAAGACTTCACCTTGGCAATGAGTCTTAGCTGGAAGAAACTGGATTTAACAACTGTATTTATCTGTTTGTCTAATTTAAAAGCACTATCAAAAATAACTCCCAGATTCCTGACATTGGAGTGGCTGTATGAAGCCGTCCGTTCACGCGTACGTACGTGTGTACTGTACGCAGAGGGTTCCGACTTCATACTCGAGCGTACACCCTGAGCGGCTGCAGTCGGCTCCACAGACAAGGGGTGTTTATCTTCGGGACCTCGGTCTTGTCGAAGCTCCAAAATTCACGGTTGAAACCCGTGCCTTTGTCGAAAAAGTTGTTTTTCTCTGCAAAAAGAAGCTGAGAGCTTGTTTACGGATTTTTTTTATTTTTATTTAAAGCTTTGTATGACAAATGCTAAAGAGCTCAAACCACACCGAGCGTCCACCATTTTGAGAACCGCAACAAAAGTAAGGAGAGACAGCCCATGTCACGTCAAGAGGCCTCCCTCCCATTTTTCTTAAAGATACATGCTGCTCTCTCCCTCACTATCCATCCTTCGGTTCAAACAGTCTTATACTGTCATCCAGTGGTCAAAAAAGTTACTACATTCAAAAAATAACCAATGTCTTCTTAAATTTGACAATAATTGCTAATTATTGTCAAATTTCAAACAATATTATCGTTTATCGCAATAATTTCTGAGACAATTAATCGCCCAGCAAATTTTGTTATTTTGACAGGCCTAGTCATCGTCATGTTTCATATGTTATTTCCAGTAAAAGAAACAATCTCTCAGGGAGACCTTTTGTGAGTGTTTAAATGAAAATTAAAGGTAATTGTTTTAGTTTTTGAGCTAAACCTAAACACTTCCTCGTCTTATTTCCTCAGCCTCCTTGGAACTGGCAGAAGCAGCGCCAGAGAGACCTCCGAAGCCTCTGCCGAGACGGATCAACTCCGAGCGCCGACACAGCCCTGTCCCGCCCGTCCTCGCTCCCCCAAGCGCTGCTTCAACAGGAGAGGACGCCAACCCCCAGATCAGCAGTGAGATCGAGCACCTCATGAATCAGGGATACTCGTACCAGGACATCCAGAAAGCACTGGTGATCGCACAGAACAATATAGAAATGGCCAAGAACATCCTGCGCGAGTTCGTGTCCATCTCCTCCACCGCGCACATCCTCACATAACACATCGAGGGGGGGGCTTTGTCTCATGTCCGCTCTCGCCCTAGCTTGGCTCAGCCTGGTTTGGTTTAGGTTGGCACAAACCAACCCAGAGCATACGACACCAGGATCATCTCCGGTGTCGGCTCACACCCTTCGCCCCCCTCCCTCCCTCCCCTGTGAACTGGTAACTGGCTGTTACTCCAGTAAGCTCACAGTATCTGGGGCTCGGCGCCCTGCACTCCATGCGCTTTCAACTGCATTTGACCTTATTATTTTTTTTTTTTGACTGCTACTGCAGGCCTCTTCGGCTTCAGCTGCGTCTCCTCTGGACTGAACAAACAAATGCGTGTGTGCACGTGTGGCGCGCACGCAGCTCTGAACTTTCATAGGAATCCTGGGAAGGTTGATTATCTTTCATGTCGAAGCCTCTTGCTGAAAATGTAACCAACACCTCACAAATAGCACTAAAAGTGTATGTCTATATGAAAATTTAATATATAAGTAAATATATACTAAATGTGTGTAATATATACAGTACGTGCATATACAATATGTGAAAATATTTCAGCTTGAAGGTACAACTGAGTGAGTGAGTCAGATTACAGTCTCGTTCTGTCTGATGAAGGAAGTAAGAGTCGGGGTGTCTGCTCACCAGGATGTGTTGATCAGCGGCAGCAGCTTGAAAATCTGTGCAGCAGAGCTTGTTCATCATCAGGTCAGTGTCACATGACCTTTGATTAACAATATTTTGGTACTTTTTTATTTTTCAAACCTGCTTGTTTTGTTGTGTTTGTATTTCAGCGTAGCACGATGATGGTTTCAGGTCTGAGCTCATTTCTGACTGGTCGTGTGTGTGTTTCTCGTGTACGTGGGCATGCTTGTGTGTGTGTGTGTGCGCGCGCTTTGGACCTGCCCCATCCCCCCATTTAATAACATGAATGTTGAATTACAGTCGGCGTATTCACGTTCTGCGAACGTAGCGCTGCTCTATGTTCCAAAGGCCGGGCCTTGTGGAGCAGTGGGGCCTGGCAGATGTGCAGATGTGCAGATGTTGACGACCCTGCAGTGCCAGCTCAGTCTGGTGTTACGAAACAAACAAAAAAATTCATTGGTATACTTTGTTAATATATTATTGCTATATGTTCATGAACATTATTCTAATGAATTCAGAAGTGTTTTGCTGCTGCTACTCTTGTTAGTGCTAAACGATTAAGCCTTAAATGTACATTTGTGAATAGTGTTTTAAGTCATCTTGTTTCTTTAAAGTGACAGTATCATTTGTTCCTAATGTAGCATACTTGAAAAATAAAAGCAGCTCTCAAGCTGTCGACTCATTAGTGTTTAAACTTTTTATTTCATTTGTTTCTTTTTATAGAAAATTTGTAGTATGTAGCATGTCAGGTGCCATGGGTCAAAATAAAAACAGGTAAAAATCTGCTTCCTCGTTTTAGGATATGGTACGCCCTAAAGGGATAGTCTGGTGGTTTTTGAAGTGATGTTCTGTCAAACGAGTATCAACCTTTATGATTAACAAACTCCTTTTATGTAGTTGATCATGCTTATAAAACGACTTTCTCAAAAGTATGTAACTGTGAAGGAATGCTGCATTAGCTAAAATTAAACCTCTACACCTTTGCATACACTTAGTTTATCAGTTTATTTATTTTATTTTATTGCCAAACTATGTGTGGATGTCCTGAGGCTGCGTTGTTAAACGGTTGTTGTTCGGTTGAGAAAACGATGACAGACAAACCACGTCGTGCAAAAGTGTCCAGGTTTAATATCCTCTAATGGAGCGTTCTTTCACGTCCGTACAACTTGTATTTTTAGAGTTCTTTTATAAACGTGGGAAACGATATAAACAGGACTTGGTTTGACTAGTTTATCCTGGAGGATAACCTCTACTCTTTTCTTCTCCATACCTTTATGTTATTTTTTTACTTGTGTCATGGTTGGTAAGGTTCTGATAACCATCTGGCAGAACATCACAGAAACCGAAATAAGCACACCAGAATAAAACGAGGACTAATTTCAGAGACTTTTTATCCTTGCTGCTCTAAGCTCAGAGTAGAATATTTTAATGTTTAATAAGAAGAATTTTCAGGACCTTTAACTAGTTTTCAAACAGAATGTCTGGCCTAGATTAACTAAACTGAGGGGATAGATTTTGACAACGTCTTTGTTTTACCTCGACCCCTGGCCCCTGTGCGTCTCCGTACTATAACAGTGACAGAGCAAGTGAAATGCTTTGTGTTTAAAATAAATTCCCACACATCGATTTCCTTTCCCATCTGAAAGGGACTGTCTGCTGAGGCCTTTTTGTACCGTAGACTCATGGGTTAGCTGGCCCCACCCCAAAGTCTACAATAAAATCAGTGTTTGGGCCAACTGTAAATATATATTTAAAAAAAAAAAAAAAACCTAACTCAGGAAACATGTTTGTTTATTTAAAAAGAAAAAAGCGGGACGTTTAACCTACCTGTTGAAACCCAGAAGAGGCTCGTTGGCGCAGACAGCCGCTCCATCCGTCAGCTGTTCATCCATCCAGCTGGCATATAAAGCCAAAAAAGTATCTGCTTCAAATGGTGCACAACTTCTTTTTCACATTGTTGCACTTATTTTGTGTTATTTGTAGTGTTGGCGTGACTAGAACCAACTCTTTCCAGGTACTATGAGTGGAAAGGATGCATTTCTGCAAGCAGCTTTTAGGTACATGGTAACTTGAGCCTCTCAGTATATGAAGAATGTTTTTTATTTTTATAGTTTTAATGTTTTTGAGGGGGAGGGTGTCAGTCAGTCCCAGCTGATGCTGTTATCTCTGCGCTGTCTTGCCATCTTCTTAGTGCTTTTTTTGTTCCTAGTTGCCTTGAGACACTTTTTGAATGATGGATGAGGACAAACGGGGAGGTGTGCAAACCTCGATACTGTACCATTGTTTTGCTAATGTTTCAGAACAGCATGTCATTCTCGTATTATTAACCTTTAGTTTATATTTTTGCACACCATACCAAATCGTGCTTTGATACTGTCACTCTAAAGAAAAGCAAACTGTATAAAGTTGATACAAAACGGAGGGAAAACAGGTTGATTTCATGTTGCATTCCTGCAAATGTATGTTGTTCCAAAGTTTTTGTTTACTTTTTATATTTCTATGACCCGTGCCATATGTTAAGAGCTCCTCACTGAGGTCCTTACCATTTAATTTTATTTTTTTAGAGATTTAAAAAAAAAAGTTGATTTTTGGAAAGTGTTTGTAGATATTGATCTCTGAAGGGCAGATTGTGCCGTAATGTTCGCATGAATCTGTCCTCTGCCTCTTCAGCCACATTAGGCCTCATCTGTGAAACGTTTTCATGTCTGTTTGATCACTTTTATTTACCCCCCCCCCCCCCCCAAAAAAACCCTCAGAATCCGGCTCAGATCCTCTTATTCCCATTAAGCGTATTCTAGTTTTCTGCCAGCAGAGGGAGCTGTTGCTCTGTGTTGCTGCACTTAATTCTCCTCTGTAAAAGGCATTCTTTTTGTTGTTGGTTTTTAAAGCTCATATCATTTTGGAAGTATGCACATTGCTGTTAATAAAATGTAAACAAAAGCACCAGGTCTCATGTACGTTTATTAAACTTAAAACTTGGCATTACATTCAGCTAGTGCCTGCTCGTATTTGTGTCCTATTAGTTTAAACTGTCTACTCTGAATTTATTTGGGTTATTGGAGAAGATTAAAACTCGTCAAGGTACTCTTTCTGATCACGCGGAACTGGAGACGATTAATAACTTAAGGTAAAAAGTAAATCTTCACAAATCAAGTGAGCTGAACAGGAAAAGGGAAGTTTGAGATTGTCATACGTTTCCATACAGTGACAAAATGAGTTCTCTGCATTTCAACCATCACACCTGACGCACCCAGGTGGAGCAGTGGGCAGCTGTGTGGGCGCCCGGGGAGCAGCTGGGGATTGGGCGTCTTGCTCAGAGACGCCACGACAAGTGGGGATGGCTGGGAGTCGAGCCGTGACTCTGCTCCACCTCACCCCCCTACATACAGCTTCAACACGTCGGTCGTGTTTTTGTTTTAAAGATTAGAAAATAAGCAACTTGCTTTCCAATACATTATCATTACAATCAAAACCACCATGTGATTATATCACTGCGTGACCACCTTCAACTGATGCGTAACCCAATAAATCTGTAGCTTCTGTAGGAAACGAACTGATGAAGCTGACGGTTCAAAACTCATTCGGCTGTTTGAATGTGACACGAGGATTATTTATCCTCACATTTCTACAGACTGCCTTCATTAAGAAGTTATGAAAGAAAAGAATTGCTGGGATTGAAGCCGAGTCATTCACTGCACATAATCTTAAGTGCCTTAAATGTAGGAAACCCTGTTTCTGTGTTAGTTAAATATCTCATGAAGCATTGGTTGGGTTTCAAATTTGAGAAATATTCAGTGAACAAACATCTACAATTGATTAATTCTTGAGTCGCCCTGATTTAAGATGGCTGCCACAACCAACTGACCTCAAAAACACAATAAACGCTAAGATAAATAAAATAACGCTACATTTTGTCGAAGTGGCAGCTGATGATGATCGCCAGCACGTACTCTTAAGAGCTAACGGATTGCTCAAAATCTTCATTTAAAATTAATCTGTTAACCACTTGGATTCAACTGTTAGCAAAATATCTCATGACCCACTGGATGGATCTTGGATGAATCAACTTTTTGGAGTCAGTTCAATTCAAGATGGACGCCACAGTCAACTGACCCCAGAAAATACAAACTGGCTCTAATTGGTCAACTTTCACCACCATCTTATCTTACTGGGCTAAAAATTTAATTTGCTAGTAGCCAAGGCTCATTCTGTTCCTCTGAACCTGCTGGTTTCCTTAGGTAAATAATGTTCCTAATTAATTTTAATGTAAGTGAATGTTTCTGTTCAGCGCCCTGAGACGACTTCTGCTGTGACTTGGCGCTAAATAAATAAACTGAACTGAACTGATATTGTGCATAACCTTATTTTAGGATTCAACGTAAACTGATGTTGGTTGAAAACTCTGGCAGGAAAGGCTGGAGGCTTCAAACAATGATGGACCTTGAATCTATCCTGTGATTTTCATTACCTACTCAACAAGCTTTTGTGTGTCTCACAACTTTATTACGGTAATAAAATCTACACCAGAAATCCTAAAGAGAAGCCAAGAAGGGCTTTTTCCATCACATCCATTCATCATCTTCACCTGCTTTATTACACAAAACATTTTAAAAACACGTTAAGCTCCTAATTAAACGGTAAAATTGTGTTTCAATGTTGAGTTTATTTTGTGGGAGTTAAAAACAAACTAGAAACAAGTTCATTGGTAATTGCAGTATATTTTATAACTCCAAGGCTTTGAGCGGCATTTAAAACATCCTAAAACAGTTAACGCTTGTTAAAAACTGAAAGAAAGGAGCGTACGATGGCTCGATTGTCTTCAGACTAAGTGTTGAGTCAGTCATTCCCCCCTCAGTAGTCAGATACTGTGGAAAGTTGCAGGTCGAGGGGGATTCTGTAGCTCAAGTTTCAGTCGATATCGTGACTTCATTAAAACAGAAACGTGTCTTCGCCTCGCAACGCGGACGACTTCAGGCTGCGGTTCTGCTCTACCGTCATCCTTCATTTTAAAAACCTAAAAGAAGCTTTAAACACAATGAAGTACACCAAAATACAGTATCATAAAACAGCTGGTTTACATTAGAGAAACACAATACAACTGCATGAACAATTACCTAAAAAAAAATAAAAATAAACTGTGCACGGGAAATAAATACAAACCTTTAAACAACGCAAACTATAAAAACGAGTGTTAGATGGAGAGAAAAGAGGAGTAAATGTGAATTATTGGCGTTTGAATGACTTGCAGGTGTGTGGCTGAAGAGGTGAGGCGTCTCTGCAGCTAAACTTTCAGTGTGCAGACAGAAAAACAAATATTTAAAGTCCTTTTTCTTGCTCTTAGAGCTCCAAAACTAAAAAAAAAAAAAACACAATCTGGTCATTTTTTTTGTTGTTTTTTTAAGCTGTTATTTTAAATAAAGAAATATATATATAATATATACACACATAGATGATGATATATATATACACTAACTGAGCTTCTTCAGTGATTGCTTTTGCCTGAGGTGATGCAAATTCCTATATAAAAACAGTCTCTGTCAGCTTTGTGCTCTAAACTTTGTTCTCTGGACAATCAGCAGTTTATAAGGCGGTCAAAAGTTTGTCTTTGGTTTCGTAGGCGAAAGGCTTTTCAGCAGAGTTAAGTGACGGAGCTTGGAAAAAAAAATCACGTCTCATTAAACTTTGGAGAGGGTGTGAAGAACAGCAAGCAAAAGCTTCGGTTTTGAAGAACATCCGCGGTGATGAGAGCGGACGTGATTTCCCTGACGTGACTGGAGTTCAGGAGGTGGAGGCGTCTGGGCGTGCGAGGATCGGAAGCAGCTGTCGGTGCGTTTGCAGGCGCCTCCTCACTTCTGCACGGGCAGCTACTTTACTTCAGAGGGTGAACACAGACACAGAGATGGGTGTGAGAGCGGGGATGGGTGCAGGACACAATGATCAGATGTGCAGGAAATGGTTGCATCTGGCCTGAGATCAGCTCTACCTGCTCGCCCCGTGCTTGTTTTTCTCCGTTCACTCCGAGGAGAATGGCCTCCTCCGTGTTGTCGCTCTTCATCTCCACCACGATGTTATCTTTGCTGGATCTCTCCCTGGTGCTTGGGTAGGAGAGAAACGTGCACAAATAAGCACATGCTTCTAAACATGTTAAGCTTTTTATCATAGTAACTTGGTAAATACTTTTCCCATGTGTTTTAAATCCGTTGTATATATCTTCTAATATTTTGGGACAAAGATTGCTACTTGATTTGCTTTTAGGACTTTGAAAAATAAACATTATACAAAGATCCAACAGTGTTAAGTCAGGTCATCTGGATGGTTTCTTTGTGTTGAAACGTTTCATCTTTCATCCAAAGGACTTCATCAGTCCAAGGAGCCACAACAAACGCAGGGTGTTTTCACATCTGATAGTCCGGTAGACTCTGTTCGGTTGGGGACCAATATACAGAACACTTATTTACATTTTCAGCTGGAGGTTCACATTCACACTGTGCTGAGTCAATGAGTCAACCTGCCCCCCCCCCCCCCCCCCCTCGCCTGTAGTGGCGCTGCACCAAGAATTACTGAAGGAAACAACACAAAAAGAAGAAGACACTTCATCTTCTTCTTCTTCTGGAAATAAAAACAAAAACAGAATGCCGTCAAATTTGACCATTTTTAGGAGTTCTGTTTTGTCATTTTTCAACAATGGACTGAGCATGAGAGGAAGATGAGGCAGCAGACCATGGAGAATGTAGTTTTTCACACTTGGCAGCTCCATATGAGGTAAGAGAAATGTGCATTTGTTTGTCCTGCGCTGTACTCCTCTTCCTACTTTTGGAGCTATCTCCAGTCCACTTGCATTCACACGGCATTCGAACCGCGCTAGAGTTCACTTCAACTGGACTGAGATCTAGGTATTTAGGAAGACCAAACTTTGCTCTTTTGGTCCTCATCAGAGTTCGATTTCGCATTCACACCTCCACAAATGAACTTTTTAGACAAACGGACTACAG